AATCCTTTTAAAGCCTAAGTCAGATCCTGTCACTCCTCCACCTTAAAATTTCTAATGACTTTCCAAGTTACTCCGAATAAAAGCCAAAGCCTTTACAGTGGCTTTGTGCTCACTGCCCCACTTCCTTTACACCTCTAATGCCACCAGCTACTCTCTCCCCACAGCTGTCCCAGCTCCTTCACCCGACATCCTGGGTATTTCTCCAATATGTCAAGGATGCTTCTACCTCATGGCCTTGCACCTGCATGTAACAAATGCTATGTGAGTGTGAACATTTATGGCTATTATTGTTGTTCCCTCTACTTAGTCCCCTCTAATTCTACTCAGCAGCTGAATGTCTCCCTTCCTCACTTCTCTCTACTCTAATATCAACTCTCAGGAAGACTTTCCTTGATTGACCCGTATATCAGCAGAGTCTCAGCAGAAAAATATACCACATTCAAATGAGGTATTGTTACAGATTGAACTGTGCCCCTCCAAAAGATTTACCTTAATTAGTTAAATTAAGTCATACTGGAGTAGGGTGGGTCCTTAATCCAATATGACTGCTATGAAATAATAAGAAATATACCTATTGGTCTCTGCCCCTGGTTCTTGCTAATATTTGGCCTTTGACCTTGGTTCCTGACACAGGGCTCTCCAAAACTCTTATAATTTCCTGAGTGATAGCAGTATCTGACACAGAGCTCCTAACCCCTTGGAATTTCCTGAGTAATAGGAATGTCTTTTGTTGTAATGAGGGGACTCTTGGTGGGCTCCTGGATGGGGGCTGGTCACCAGAGAGACTAAGCCATGATTAGAAGGTTGTAACTTTCAGTCCAACCCCCCATTCTTCAGAGAAGAGAGAGAGGCTGGAAATTGAGGTAAATAATTGATCACCCCTGCGTGATGAAGCCTCCATAAAAATCCCCAAAGTACAGATTTTGGAAAGCTTCTGGGTTGGTGAATGTATCCACGTGCCAGGAGGGTGGGGCACCCCAACTCCACAGGGACGCAAGCTCCTGCATTTGGGACCCTTCCAGATCTCACCCTATATATCTTTTCATCTGGTTGGTCATCAGTGTCCTTTATCATATCCTTTATCATATAATAAGCTAGTAAACATGTTTCCCTGAGCTCTGTGAACTGTTCTAGCAAATGATCAAACCCAAGGAGGGGGTCGTGGAAATCCCAGTTGGTAGCTGCTCAGTCTGAAGTACAGGTGACAAGTTAGGACTTGCAATTGGCATCTGAAGTAGGGGCAGTCTGGTGGGACTGAGCCCTTAACTTGTGTGATCAGGTGCTAACTCCAGGTAGTGTCAGAACTGAACTGAACGGCAGGACACCCAGCTGGTGTCTGCAGAGAACTAGGGAATTACTTGGTGTGGGAAAAAAGCCCACACATCTGGTGATCAGAAGTAAATAGTAAGAGTAGTAATTGAGCGGTGAGTAGAGGAGAAACAATAGAGTTTTTCCTATTCTACTGGTGTCCTTATAAGAAGAGACACACAGAGACAGACATACAAGAGTTGAACGTCACATGACGATGGAGACAGAGACTGAGGTGATGCAGCAAGCCAAGGGATGCCAATGATCGCCAGCAAACCACCAGAAGCTAGGAAGAGGCAACAAAGAACTCACCGTGACAGGTGTCAGAGAGAGCACTACCCTACCAACACCTTAATTTTGGACTTCTAGCCCCCAGAACTGTGAGACAATAAGTTTCGATTGTTTTAAGCCACTCAGTTCATGGAGATTCAATTAAAGGGACCCTTCACAATCATGTAGGGAAGCATACAGGGACACTACAAGGACAGTACAGCACCCTGGAGTGAGAAGTAGGGGCCCTCTAGGCATGAAGGGGCAAGGTGGGGAGCAGGTACCAGAACCTGGAAGGAGAGAGTCACCTGGAAGGTCAGGATACAGAAGCAATGACCTTGTATCAAGAGCATTGCCAACCACAAAGAGGAATACATGGCCTAACTTCATTCTCCTCCCTTAGTCCTATCTCCTGCTGGGACTCCCCAGGAAGCCAACTGTGGTAGCCCATACAGGGCAGCCCTCTTGGGTCCAATTGCTGGGTGAAAAAGGGGTAGGAAGATGGGGGAGGGGAATGAAAAATATCTGGCACATTCACTGTAGCAATACTATTTCGGCTCTGTACTATTGATCTTCTTCATGTTCTTTTTTTTTTTTTTTTGAAAAGCACTTATCAGTACCCCATATACTATAAATATTGATAACTTTGATTTTTAGTTTATTATCTGTTTATCTATTATTCCACTAGAATACAAACTCCATGAGGGCAGGGACTTTGTTTCTTGTTGTACCCTCAGCACCTAGAACAGTTCCTGGCATGGAGAGAGTCTCAAGAACTATCTGATGAATGAATGGCTTGGAGTGCGGCGTTTTTACCCTGGTATTCTCTGAGTCAACAGCTACTGCATCTCTGCTCGTTCATCTTCTTCCCTGAAATTACTTGACTGATTTCCAAAAATGCAAGCAAAACTCCCTGGCTTGTTACCAAGTATTTGGAATCAATGACTCCCTCCTGTCTTTTTATCTTGGCCCAATAGCTCTTGAAGAAGCCCAAGGCCTATCCTACAAGGCCTCGCTCATAAGCACCCTCATCTTGGTGGCCTTTGCGTTGGGGGGTTGGAGGGGGTCCTATCATCTGTCATGTGAACGGTGGGACTCTTGGCAAACGCATCTACACCAGACGAGGAGGCATACAGGCTGTCCAACCTGTACTATTTAGCCAAGCAAATGAAAAGTAACAATTTCAGGTAGAGCCATGAAAATCTTTAAACCAGGGTACTGTTGTACTATCACATGGAGTTTTGTGGGGCTCAGATGAGATTATCCATGGAAAGTGCCTCAAATGGTGCCTTGCCTAAAGGGTTAATGTATGTTTATTATATATTATTAAAGTTGTTGAAGAAGTCCTCTGTGAGGAAGTAAATTATGACTTGGACCCTGAATGATGAAAAGGAGATAGTCAATTAGAGATCTGGGAAGAGAGTTTCAAGCTGAAGTAACCTCAGCTGCAAAGGCCCAGAGACGAGAACCAGCTTGGCCTGTTCGAGGGATGACAGTGAATGAGAGGGAGAGAGAAGGAAAGAGATGGGGCCAGAGGGTTTGGCAAGTATCAGATCATGTGAGCTCCCCAAGGCCAGGTAAAGAGTTTGAATTTTATTCTTAAGTATAATTAGGTATTAAGAGTAGATGTGACATGATTTATATTTGAAAAAGACCACTCTGCTGGGGAGGTTGAAAAAAGAGTAGAAGTGGAGAGACCAGTTGGGAGGCAGGAGAAAGATACTGATGCACTAGCCTAGGGTTGTAGAAGTAGAATTGGGAGAAATGGCTGAATTGGGGATATAACTTGGAGAATGAAGTTGATAGGACTTGATAATGGATTAGGTGTGGTGGTTGGCAGGGGTGGGGTGGGGGGAGGAAGAGAGGGAAGAGATTTATCAGGGATGATGACTAGATTTTTGGTCTGAGCACCTGGGTAGATGGTGGTGCCATGAACTAAGATGGGGGAAAACTGGGAGAGGAGCAGGTTTCAGAGGGAGGGGAGGTCCAGAGGGAATCAATGGTTCTGTTTGGCCATGGTAAGTTTCAGAGGCTTACTATATTTCAAGTGAAGATATTGTGTAGGCAATTGGCTAACTCTATCTATAGCTAAGGGGAGAGGTCCAGGCTGGAGGTATTTCAAAACAAGGGGCAGGATGAGATCACCTGGTGACTAGCAGTAGCTATACAGGAATACAGAGGGTGGAAGGTTAGATACTGAATTACAATACAGGGAGATATGTGCTGTGAATGGGGCAACACCAGGTTAGTGGAGAGGGAGGCTGGTCAGCAAAGTTCCGTGGAAGCATTATATCCACAGAAAACCAAGCAGTGACATTTTATCAGTGAGGATGCTGGTCCAGAGAGGTAATCTGCAATTAGTCACACAGCTAGTGACCTAACTGTAACTTTATACTTGAACTACTTTAAGTCAAACCCTATTAAGAGGCAGGATAGTCAGGCACCTAGGAACACAGGCTCTGGAGTCATTCTGCTTGGATTCAAATTCTGGACCTGCCACTTACCAGGTGGGTGACTCCAGGTACATTACTCATCACCTCTATACTTCAGTTTTCTTATCTGTAAATAGGCATACTACAAATAGCTATCTACTTAGGGAATGCTTACTATGTTTCTGGTACTAAGATTTTACATACATTATTCAACACCCCCCTCCAATAATCAATGAAGTTGAATGCTGTTATTATCCCCATCTTACTGATGAGAAACCGAAAGCATATTTACGCATTCACAAATATTTACTGTGCCTGCATTACATGTTTCTTCGTGCTAGGGGTACATCAGGCGATACAACAAAGTCCTTGCCTTTGTGCAGCTTGTCTGTGATTTACTGAAAGGAGAAAGATGATAAACCTAATAAATATGTATACTATATGGCAATTAGAAGATGATAAATGCTATAGGAAAAACACCAGGGTAATGGAGCCAGGAAAGTTGCTGTTTTAAGTCGGGTATCCAGGGTAGACCTCTCTGAGAAGGCGACATTTGAGCAAAGATTTGAAGGAGGTGAGACAGCGAGCCACCCAGGTAGCTAGGGAAAGAAGACTCGGAGCGGAAACAGCAAGGGCGAAGTTAGGCTCTCAGGTGAGAGCGTTTGTCCAACATCCACCAACAACGCCTAGGGCCAGCCGTGAGAGTAAGATATGAAAGGAAGGGGCTGTGTATCCAGTTCTAAGAACTTTGACTTTTACTCTGGGTGAGATGAGGAACCACTGGACAGTTCTGCCCGGGGGAGTGATATAACTTGACCTTGTATTTAGGCTCAAGGTCCATCAAGGCAGTCTAGCGCTGGAATCAGTGCTCTCAGAATAAAAGAATCAGTCGCCAGCACAAGGACTCAGCCACACAGCGAGCGCCCTGCAAGCGCCGGCCCACTACTGTGGCTGTCACAATCCTTTCACTTAAACCCCGCCCCGACCTACCGCCCTCTAGTTCCCCAGCTCCAGGTCTCCGCATCCACTCAGTCTGGTCTCCACGTAGCGCTTCCCCGGCTATGGATTGCGCAACTCAGACAACAGGGCGGAGCCTGGACGTGGGCGGAGTCTGGACGTAGGCCGAACCGCGGCGGGCTGGAGAACGCCCCGGCCGCAGACTCTCCATGGAAGCCGCGAGAACCCCGAGACGCCCACTGACTGCGCCTGCGCACGCGCAATCCAGGCCGCCGACATTCCAAAACGGTAATCCGCGCCGCCCCGCCCCAATTCCGGGGCGGAGTTCTTGGCTGCGCCTGCGCACAGGCTCGCCGCACCCTACGCCTGCGCGTTCAGCCGGCCCGACCCCATCCCCCAGGTTTTTCGGGTGGGGGAGGGGGTGCGTCTCGGCGAGTCACGATGATGGCGGCTACCATCCTGTGGTGAGGTAGCGGATTCTCTGCTCATCTCGCAGAGCCCCTGGCGCTTCCTGCAGACTTAGTGGCTGGCGCCGGGCTCGTGAGGAAGCACGGTGGCTCGTGCTCGCGAGGAAGGCCGCAGTCGCGGAGGCAGCGGCGCGGCCCGGGGCCAGGTCTGGGGGAGAGGCCGCTCTGCAGGGCGAATGTGACAAGCCCCCACCCCCACCGCTTTCCTCCCTAGTGCGCGAGGAGCGCGGGCGACCCCGGGGCCCCGCCAGGCCACAGACCCCGCCCAGCGGCCAGCACCCGGAGCAGGCCCGGCAGCGGAGCTGCGCGGCGGCACCATGCTGGTCACCCTGAAGACCCTACAGCAGCAGACCTTCAAGATCGACATCGACCCAGACGAGACGGTGAGTGCGGCGGGAGCGCGGAGCCCGGCACCGGGCAGGGGAGGCGCGCGAGGCGCCCACCGGGCCTGGGCTTGGGGCGGTGCGGCGGGGCCGTGTGCGGGGCCCCGGCCTCAGCTTCTAGAGGGGCCCGGCGGCGCGCCCGAGCGGGGAGACCTCCGGTACACCCTAGAGGGCCCGGCGAGCGGGGTCTTGGGCCCCGGGCGCTGGATGAGGCCTGCGGGCTCCGAGCGCGGGCAGGGCCCGGGGGCCCGGCGGCAAGCGGCCCACCGGACCTTCAGAGTTGGCTGTGGGCTTTGTGGTAGGAGTAAGGGGAAGCAGTGGTCGGACACCGAAGCCCTGGTGGCAGATGGCGTGGAGTACACGCCCGCTGGGCACGGGAGGCCTCGGCCTGGGCGCTCTCGGCGGAGGGGCCAGAGGGGGAGGGGAGGTCAGGGCTGCCTCGGCGGTCTAGCCGGGCTCCCCGATGGTGGGTGCATGGGTTGGGGAGGGAGATGTCGGCGTCACCACTGTTCCTCAGTGGACCTGGTTAGGCGCTGAGGTCTAGGAAGCGCTAACTGGAGATAATGAGCCTTAAATAAAAAGTATCAGATTCCGTCTGCTGCACAGTGAGAGGCGAGTGGTGAGGGGTGGTGAAAATGCATTCTTTGCCCCCTTCGCCGCAGAATTGGTGACCCTTTTATTTGCCTATATCTTGAATCGTTTCGCTGCAGTTCTCCCGCCACCCAACCCACACCCATGTGTAGATTGCCCTTTGAGCCCTCTTTGGTGGTGAAGTTTGTTGGGTTAGAGCCCTTCAAATCCAGGCTCAAACTTAACTCCAGATTAATGAGTTCCCTGTGTTAGAAGTCTTGAAGTTGTAGGAGTCGGAACTCTGCACCCAAACCCCAAGTAATAGCCTTTCAGGGGAGAAAAAAAGAAAATAAAAACTTTGAATCTCTTCTGTAAACTCGTGAACACCTCAGAAGTTCACGTGTTAAATTCTCATGTCATCCTGTGTATTTGTGAGTGCAAAAAGGCACTGTGTTGAAATCAGTACAACTTTTTGCCAAGATCTAAAAATGCCATTCAGTGTAAACTTACTTGTGTTCTGGAATTGTGATGCTGTACACCATTGAGGTTGTCATAAGGCTGTATTTAAAGCAGCAGCTTTCAGCCCATCTATATTTTTAAAAATAGGTGATTCAATTTTGGTGGAGATCTGGGGCCTTAGTGTTAGTTAATTAAGTAATCCTGAGCTCCCATGTGTGGCTCTAACTTATTTGCTATGTGCCTGTTTTGCAAAGATGTGAAGATTAAATATTATTTAATTGGTGGTCAGTAAATGGAATCGATTATTAATCTCTCCATACCTTTGAGTGAGGGTATAGGGTTATGTTTTACCTATATCATTTAATCTAAAGTTTTCTACACTTTTAATTATTTAAAAAAAGTAGTTCCCAACCTTTTTGGAATTGTGGTACTAAATGATTTTAGTTCAAGATATTTAATTATATGTGTAAATATGCTGTGTGGTAAATTCTTAAAGGTGCAGGAGATAGCAGTTTTAGATGAGAAATTCAGTGTTCTCAGAAGTAATTGACAACACCCTGTGGATTGCTATTACTAACAAAAATCATATTCTTCCTGAGTATTCCTTTACTGCTTGGTGTATACTTAGAAGTTAAAGGATGAAAGTTAATGCAGCTGTTTAATGTTTTCAGACAAAACTTTTCATAAAATGTTATTGACTTTGGATTTTTGTAGTGACACGTGTTGGTGCTGCAGGAACTTTACCAGCTTATATTCACAATTAATTCCAAGATTATTGAAACCTAAAGGATTTTTTTTTGTAAACATCTGTGGATTTATTGAAGTTATGCAGTGACTTTCTACAGCTCCACTGAATTATTTATGTTCTATAAAGTTTGTATAGCTCTTTAGGCATTTTATGCATTCTTTATCTTAGAGCGAATATTGTATTTGTATAGATTCTTAACTGTACTTGCTATTTTCCAGTTTATTTCCAAGGGGATTTAAGTTATATGAAACATACTTCTAGACGTATATTTTCAGAAAGCTCAGTTGTTACAGAGAGTTGCTTCTTTAGCTTTTTGTTGCTGTTTGTCCAAATATAATTTTGTTGCTGTTTATGTAAATATAAAAGCTAACATTGTTAGGCTGGGACAAGAGATGAAAACACTTAATCTGGATATACTGGAACATTTACATTAAAATGACTTGTGGGTTTTTACTTTAATGGACTTAAATTTTAAAAATGGGAAAAATGTTAGAACTATTTTAATTCCATCTTTATAGTGATTTTTAATTAAATATTTATTTTTGATACAGTATTTGAGAAAATTCCAGTAAGAAAAGAAGCAATGAAAATTACATAGATAGAGGGAGACTGTAAGTGTCCTGTTTGTAATTTGTGAAAACTAGATAACCAAGGATATTAGAAATAGATCTAAAATAAAGGGGAAAAAATAGGATTTTACTGAGACCTCTAGGGAGATTTCACATAAAATGAACAGATTTTGGTCTCTAAGACCTCTATTTTGGCCGCTCAAAGGTTTTATTTTTACCTAGAAGGAACTAAGAAACCTTAAGGAACTTAAGTAACTTGAGGTGGCCGGTATAGAAACTTGTGAGCTTGAGACGAGCAGGAGCGAAAATGAGTGAAAGGACTGAGAGATAAGAGGAATCATGGGAGTGAATCATTTGCTCAACAAGTGAGTGTTCAGTGAACTTTGACTGGCAGAACTGGAGGAGTACAGGGACATGGGGGACATGGTCTGGGTCTTCTTGGGAGCCATATTGACATAGTCTTAGCTCCGTCAGTGGCTATAGAGTAGATGCACAAAGTAGAAAAAGCAAGAGGATTTGTTTTTAAGGTGTTTGTATTTGCTTTAGTGTTTGGATGTTGAAAGTCCTCCCTTGCCTCTTTTTTAACAAGTGAAACTTTCTTAACATTCATTTGCCATTTTGTACCACTTACTTGACCATTACCATGCACTGCCTTTAGTGTTAACCATTACAAAACAGTGATTTTATTATTACAATAATAATTCATCTCCTCATAGAATAACTGGGGAAAAAACCAACAGTAAGTTTCAGGTGAGACTTTAAATGCATAAGCTGAAATATGATTGTATTATATAAGTGACATCAAAGTTATGTGTATACATTGGAAGTTTTTGGTAAGAGAATTGTGAAGATACAGTAGTTTTAATTTCTATAGACAGTATATCTAATATGCTATGCAGTAATCTGCAAAGGATTAACCTCACTTTGTGGTATATTTGTGTAATGGTGATTATGCTATAAAATACTACTTGAGTACTAGTCTTGTACATGGGATTTACTAGCCATCATTTATTAGCAAATTGTTCCCATTGTGGCTTATTGTATTTTAACAGAGTTGTGAAGATAGTACCTTATTATGGAAGTTCCCTAGATTATTAAAACATTAAGCAGTAAACATATTAAAACACTGTATCACAGAGGTAAAACTAACATTTCTTGGCATATTGGTAAAACAAAATACTGTAGTACCTGGGAAACCTGGTGTGGTTTGTATCAGACCTTTGCTCTTTCTATACTTGGCACACAGTAGGCATTTAATAAAGATCTTTCTTTTGAATGAATTAAATACATTTTTTGGTGAATTGCCAAGTCAGTGATCCCTCAGTGTTTGCATGTTGATTTATTTAATGTTTGTTGAATACTTACTAAAAATATCAGGTCTTGCTGTCATGGTGTGTACATTATAGTGGAATAAATTAGTCGAAAGCAAATTTTAAAAAACAGATAGTGGTAAGAGTTATGTAGAGAATTGAAATAGGGTGAGGTAATTTGATAGTGTGTGACTGGGTGGCTACTTTTAAATTGGTCACAGAAGGCCTTTCTAAATAAGGTGACATTTAAACTGAGATCTGAATAGTAAGCACTCAGAGATGGGGAGAGTGTTTTCTGTAGGGAAAGACCTTTAAGAGTGTGTTTTGGGAATCAAAAAAGGCCTGTATTGTTGATCTAGTAGTTAAAGGAGAAGAGAGGTAAGGGATTAGAGTTAGGCAAGGGGCCAGGGCCTGTAGGGCTTTGTAATAAACTGAAGGTTTTCAGTGTAAAATAGGAGGCCTTTGGGGGCTTTTAAGCAGAGGAGAAAAATTATTTTTTTTATGATTTTAAAAGGTTACTTTGCTGTTTGGAGAATAGATAGTAGGAAGACCATTTAGAAGGCTTGCACAACAGTCTTAAGAGGTCAAGGCTTTGACCAGGGAAGTAAGAGTGGAGATACAAAGAGAGGTGGAGGGATTTGAGATATGATTGGGAGGATGGAGTTGAGAGAATTTTTTGATGCGTTGGAGTGGGGAAAATTGAGAAATCAAAGATTAAACATAGGTTTTGGTTGTATAACTTGTGTGAATACTTGTGTTCTTTCCTGAGATGTGGAGGGATGGGAGAGGGGCAGGTTTAGGGGTTGGGGTGGAAACTCAAGACTTAAGTTTAAGATGCCTATTAAACATTCAGGTGGAAATGACAAGGAGATTTGCTATGAATTTCCGTCCCAAAGGGGCATTTGGGCTGGAGTTAGAGACATGACAATAAGCAGCATATATGTTTGACCTCAATCCATTGGACTGGATGAGATCATCTTGCCACAGTCTTTTTCAGTGCCCATGCCTTGCAAAATTGAGTCCAAGTGCCTAGATTATCCCTTATGTTTAATTAACTTCTCTGCTACTGGAATTGAGGAACCCTGGTGAGAATGTAGCGGGATGGGGCTTAGGGCTGAAGCCTGGGATGGTATAACACGTGGAGATTGAGTACTGAAGAGGCCAGTTAAGGAGCAACCTTTGAGGTAGGAAGAATCCAAGAGAAGAAAAAAGTTTCAAAGAGGAGGAAAAGGTCAAATGTATCTACTGCTTGAGAAATCAAAAGTAAGATAAAAACAAGAAACATGACTTTTGGTTTTGGCAACTTGGAGGTCATTAGTGACCCTAATGAGTAGTCTCCATGGA